TCTGTGGGCAAGTACACCTATGTAACTAAACTGCACATTATCAGGAGGGTCACACAGACTCGGCTTACAAATAAAGGTTTGTTTGACGAGAAACGTGATTTGTATAGACAATAAAAAATAACTGGGCTCAAAGTGTTGTCTCCAGCATATCGTAAATATATTAGTAGTTTAGATATATAATATATATTTAATCCATAATATACTCAATCCATTTGATTTTTGTAATATATAGTTGTAGTTGCAATTAAGTTACTTTCTATATCTTGACTTACCTTTGGCAAAGCTTGTCACTCCAATTAAAAAGTATTTCCCTTTCGGTGCTTAGCGTTACAATTGGCATTCCTTTTGTTTTCTTATTGTTGTCTGTGGGCATGTCCACCTATGTAATTAAATGGCACATTATCAGGAGGGTCACACACACTCGGCTTACAAATAAAGGTTTGTTTGATGAAAAACGTGATTTGTATAGATAATAAAAAATAACTGGGCTCAAAGTGTTGTCTCCAGCATATCATTAATAGTTTAGATATATTAAGATATTAGCGTAATAATCCCATTTGATATTTGTAATATATACTTTAGAGTAGAATTAAATTTCTTGCGGAGTAAACCTCCAATTAAAAGGTATTTCTCTTTCGGTGCTTCACAATTGGCTTTCCATTCTTGTTATTATTCTTGTCCGTGTGCATGTAGCCCTCTGTAATTAAACTGCACATTATCGGGAGACTCACACACACTCACGCACACATACTCAGGTATAGATATGTATAACAAGCACTTACACAGGCGCAGTCACCGCATAATTATGCAAGCATTTCTATGTGTGTATTTTATGCCACGCCCAACTGTCACATTGAGTTTTGACCATGTGGGTGAAATTAAATTTGGTCACATTTAATTATTGTTTATGCAAGGCTTGTGGCCTGTGATCCACAATTTCAATATTATCATCGAAGATAATTCGCCAAATGCGCTGCCTAATATGGCAAGCAGCATAAGGCTGGGTAGCGCCAGGACGAACTGCGAAACATCCTTAAAATAAATGCATACCATTTTATATTATAAAAAGCCGCACTTAAAGGGGTTTACTTAAGACCTCACCTTAGAAATTTGTACATGAAGAAAATCGACTCGCGTCGAATCGTGTCTTGTGTCAACATTAATCGCAACAAATTTAATTTCACAATTAAATGCAAAGACGCGATGCGTTTAGCATAAATTAACAGCATGTAAGTAGGCGCCGCAGGGTGCCTGGAACTGAAGGGGGCTGGGGGGAATTTCGGCTTGCTTCGTTGGTTTCAGGTGTCGTGCCACCAAATAAGCCGCCAGTCAGCGCTTCCGTTTCCGGCCCTCCCCCTTCCTGCCACCGTCTGTGCTGGTATGGGTAGCAATTTTCCATTAGTGTATTTATTGCAAAATGTAATTTAATTGACGTGAACGTCTAATGCATTTAAGCAAAAGGAATTAAGTGTCTTTAATTGTTCACTTTAATTAAATTAGCCAAGATATTTGCCAAAAACCAGATTTAAAGTCTTTCATAGCAGATAGACAAGTGAAAACTGGCTTGAATAAGACGCTTAACATTTATCAAGAGCAGCTGCAACAACATATGAAGTTGATTGGAATTAAGTTCGGGTTTTGTCCGAAACCAGACTGAAAAACATGTGTTGTGCGTGCTCATCGTTTTGCTCTCGGCAATAAGTCAGAGAAATTGCTTTCGGTAGTACCTTAAAAGTGTGCAATGTGTTGACGTAAACAAAGTAAAAAAAAAAGCAAATCGAACTTCAATATTATATACATGTTTGCTTCTTTTTAAAGTTTTTTTTATATATGGTTAAATATATATATTTTATGTATACGTACTCGTATATACAAGGTACAGAAACATTCGTAACGTATTTATAAAAGCATTTGCATTTTTAATGCTTTTATTTATAAAAGCATTTGCATTTTTAATGCTTTTATAAATATATATTTTAACTTCAATTCCCAAGTAATGCTTGATGGAGCAGTTGTTGCTAAACTCAACAATAGCGATTCTAGCATTGACTGAAGAATATATACAATGTATATACAATAAAAAAAAAATAATAATAGTAATTATAATAAAATTGACTATAAAATTAAAATTCATATATATAATTTAATTTCACAAATGGCTATTGATAATATAATATACCATATATATGTATATATTATTGAAAGTCTATAATACTATTGATAGATATGATAATAATATGGAATGTATTTTTATATATTAAATCAATAGAAATTGACTAGTATTTAAGCCGATTATAAATCTTATCATAAAAAGCTATTGATAATAATTATCATAATTGCAGATTTATCAAAAATAGCTATTGATAACGATTTAATATACTTATATTTCTAAATTAATAGATATATATAAATATATTTATATTTTTATCAAAATAGCTAATCAAACTAATTTATTATCATAAATATCTAATGATAATAATTTAGTATCTTAATATATATAAATTATAAATAATAATATAGCTTAAATAGCCATTGGTTATAATATGGTATATGAACAGATTAAAATTATATATATGTATATAATTAAAAGATATATATTCTTATTTCATGGATAATAATTTAGAATAATTAAAAGATAACATCAATAGATATATATACTAGTGCTTTAGCTGATATATCATTATTGATATTGATATTAATAACTGATTAAAAATAAAATTCGTTTTAATCAAAATTATGTGCTAATGGCTAGCTTTTGGCCAAATATGATAACATTGGCGGTTGAGTCATTCCGAGACATGCCACAAAATGTAAGCGGCTTAGTCTACAGCGTGGTCTTGTGGCATTACTATAAAGTAAAAATAATAATTTTAAATAGTACTTTTTAGCCGCATGCTTCGCTGCACAGACAGCAATGAGGTATTTTTTATCTTTCTTTATTTTGGCGTCGACTTTGCCGTTAACCTTCGATGCGAAAATTGTTTTGTATGTACTTATTTTTTGTGCGTTTATTTTTTATTTTGCGCTGGCAGCACAAAATGTTTAAAGGTGTTTTTCAGTTTAGTTTTTTTAAGCGTTTTGGTCAGGGCATGGCTGTGTTATGGGAGTACGAGTTTTTAATTGAAGGACGTCGGCGGCATTCGAAGGCAAGCCAAACAAATAAACTGCTGGAGATCTGTGGCAGCTTTTCTCGGTGCAGTTGCCAGCTTGCACTACAGCGACTGCCCAGTTAGTCAATTTTAACACTGCAATTACAATTGAAGTTGCAGTTGCAGTTGCAGTTGCAGTTGCCGTCTCCCCACTTGACTGCAATTTGCTGCTGTGAAGTTGTTGTCGCCGTTCTTGTTATTACCTTTAATTTGCCTTTTTCGGTGATTGTCGGCCACGGCTGCGCGGAGCCAAGTCACGTTTCGTCTAGCATCGAGCCGCGCGTTCAGGACGGACAACTGTCCGTCCGGTTTTTTTAAGTTGAATTCTGGTTCTTGTTATATGTTTGGCAATTGCAGCACTGAACGCTTGTCAGTCGCTCACTCGTTGGGTCTGGCAGGGTCAGACTGGTTATTTCTCTGGCCCAGGTAATGGATGTGTGCAATCATAAAACTTTTAGCGGCTGTCGCTCAGTGACCTTTTACCTGCTGATAGGCGCGCACTTTGCAGCTGCCCAGCTCGCAACATGGGCCGCATATTTGAGTATACCATTCAAATATTTACATTGCGAGTGCGTACGTGACAAAAGGCACATGTGCTGCACGCATTCCTGCTCATTATCCTGTCGCCAAACAATGCAACAATGTAAATAATTATCTTAAGTGTATGTGTACTCAACTCTTGCTAAACTCATCTCTTGACATCCGAAATACATTTAGTAAAGGTGCATATATTATTTCTAGCCTTTTCCCGATGCAATGAGCTGCATATACCTGCCATCTAACGAACCTAGGGCTGCAGCCGAGTCACGAAGTACATAAATGAAAACAAACTTAGACCTTAGACTATGACTATCATTTTGCTAAGCAGTTTAGATTAGAAGCCTTTACACGAGAAAGAGAAGATTTCGAACAGAAATAATACTCTGTAATGAGGCATAGTTAGTTGAACAACATTAAAGCTAAGAGTTATATAATTGCGTGTTAGTCTAAAAGGGAAGAGTCCATTTCACCCGTAATTAACTTAATAAACTTGATAAAGCTAATCAAAAGAAGTTATATTTTTGTATCTTTGAATCTATATAATTGACGTACCAGCTGTTCCCGCTGATAATATAAGTTTAAGTTTGTGAATTATTGTAATTAGACTAAGCGATTGTATTTTCTTAATTTTAACTGATAATACCCTAAATTACTCAAACATATTCCACTGAATTGTTGTTTAATTTATGATGTTTTTGGAATGTTTTTTTTTTTTTTTTTTAAAAACCTTGTTATCTTAATGTGTCGCAAATGCCATTGATTTATATTTCCAAATTTATATATTTGTTATAATCGCCTGGCAGCTTGTGTTCGTACCACTGTGCGTTTGGGCTGCGGCTCAGCCTGCACTTTGCCAATATCAGCAGCGGCCATTAGCCCGGGCAGGTAATCGAACTCAACAAAACCAAATTTGTGGCCGCCCCATATACATCAAACCATGCAGCGATATATGCACATATATACATCGATATAGGTATATATATATATATACACCTTATATGTACAATTTCAAAATCAAACGCGATGGTATATTTGATTTGTTTTGATGAACAGCTGCTACGGCGACTGTTCGCATCTAATTAACACAACACTGAGCGCCAAAAGTAAGCAGCAACAGGTGAGCAACAGGTAAGTCGCTCTCTAGATTAAGCGATTGCTGGCTCGCTCGCTCGCTCTTTCTTTCTGTCTCTGTCTCAGCAGGCCATCAGCTGTTTGGCCGCTTGGTCGCTTGGTCGCTTGGCTTGGCTTGAGCTGAGCCGAGCTAAGCGAAGCGGCTGCTGTTTCAGTTCTGTTGAAAGCCGCCTTCAGGTTGGACGCGTCGGTCTGTGGCTTGTCGCGTGTGTTAGCTGCGGATTTACAGTTACATTAACAAACGTGCTGTGTGTGCGCTTGAATGCCAAATTTAATTGCCAGTGTGCCACAGCAACAACATTTAACGTTAACGGCAGCTAGCGTTTAATTTGAAAACGTTTTCAAAAATAAAAGATATAAAAAAAAACGCAAATCGTTACTTTCGTTTTTCCCACTTTCATTTTTGTTTTGCTTACACACAAGTTTTCATTGAAAAAAGTGTCGTTGTCAAAGTTGTGAAATTTCCACATATACAAAAAAAGGTGCTAAAAATCGAGAGTTACAGAATTTATTAAACAACCCAAAAAAAAAAAACAACAAACCAGCGCAACAAACTACAACTGAAGTCAACCTATTCGAATGGCGCTCATGGACACCGCCTGGCGCTGCCGCCTCATGATCTTTGGCGTCGTCTCGCTGCTGCTGGTTGGCGATCTCTTTGGCTATGGGGGCTACAGCGTGCGCGGCGTTAAATCGGATCATCCGGACGAGGTGGGCGTGCAGGGCGGGGGGCCGCCGACTGGTCCCGCGGCTGCCGCTGGCAAGTTTCAGCAGAAGAATGCCGAAATCGACATAGGCGAAGGTGAGTGACATTTCCAGTATTCCCATTTGCGTTGCATTTCAATTTTGTAAGCGAGTTGCTCTTTTTTTATACGCAAATTTTAACTAGACTCTTGCGTTTTTTAAATTTATTTATTTATATTTATACGCTATTTCTTTCTTTTTTTTGGCATTAACAACTCAAATTTGTATACACTTGGGCCGCTTCGCATTGCAAAATATCTGTCTATCTTTTTTATGGCTTGTTTCACAAATTCAGCTTTTTGTTGTCTTTATAAGCGGCGCTTTGTTTGGCTTCATCAAGGTCAATTTCGATTTATAAATGAATGTTTCTTGCTTTTTTTTTAGTCAATTAATTTGTAAAAAGCTGGCAGCACGTGTAAGCGAATAATTGATAAAAAGCTTTACCTGGTACCCGGAATTAACGTGTATTTTAAGTTATTTTTGGCAAAAATTTCATTATTATAATCCAGTTTCCAAAAAAAATACCCATGTATCATCATTTAACGAGCCATAGTTTTTGACATTTAACGGCCAAGTTATTTAACTTGGCTAAAACGTTGCCACGAATTTTAAGTAGGCAGTCAAAAATTTTCCATACCTATTACAAACATACAAGTTCGCTTCTTATGTAATTTAAAAACAAAAATCTGTTCTTATTTTAAGACAATATCATCTTTCGAGCTTTATTCATGCCAGTTAGCTTTAGCTGGGTTTCTTTTGCGTGTTGCGCAACAAATATCAAAAGGTCTCACAGTAAATAAATAAACAATTTTATTTAACACCTTAGCGGACACGGAAAGCCCAGGTTGAACAAATGTTTGTAGCTTTCGTACCGGCAAACAGCTAAAAACATATTGGTAACCACTTTCCAATGCCCAGCGATTTGCATAATTTTTATAGACAAACTCGTAGGAAAGTGACATAAGAGCCGCAAATGTTTTTTTTTTGTAAACAAATGGATATGAGTTTTGATTATGCAATGAATGCCACGAGTTGATACACATACATACATATATATGGTCGATTGCAATAAGAGGAAACCTCAATGACAGAAAAAAGTTAATTGAATCAATCGGAAAGTCAAAGTGCAGCTCGAGGCAGCTTGACGAGTCAACAATAGAGCTGGAGAATATGTTGATTGTATTTTAAGTTGAGGTCAAAAAGCTTTTCAATTATCACAACGGCTTTTCATGCTCATGTCAAACTTCATGTTAATCGGAACGAATTAACATTCACATTTACATGGTGGAAACACTGTCACTCTAATTTCTTACCATTTAACAAGTACATGAGAATCTTGGCCTCTGAGTGGTCTTCCTCAGTGGTGTCTAACTGGAATTTAGCCCAGGTCATTAACATGATCTCATCTGTGGTCTGGTCTCGCCTGATTTTGTATGTGTGCGCTTGGGTTTCTGTTTTTGCTTGCAGAGGTGAAAGTGGAAAAATGCCAAGCAAATAAGCTTCACGTAATAAAATCAGCGACAACGACAAGTTTTTTACGTATGCCTTTGCAACAGGCTGCAGTTGCAGGGGCCATTTCGCAATTGTTCATTGGTTTTTTTATTCGCCAGAGTTAAAATTCCAATGCTGTGCACATTGTCTAGACGCAACTGCAGGGCAATGCTGATTATGTCAAGTTAACAGGAAGTTGCCAGAATAAACAATGACAATACGAAATAGCACTAAGAAAACTTAACTTGACTTGCGCTATTTAATTTATTGAACTGATTCAAGCAAAGCGCTCTAAAAATTCACGCAGTTTTGAGAAACACTTGTAAATGCCGATTGGAACCAGTTCCAATACGTAATCAAGCCGTGCGTCGAGCGCCGAGCGCCGGTTTGTGTATAAATGATTAGCTGGAAACTAGTTCTACGGAAATCGAGAGTGCCCTGAAATTAATTCTGCGCTATTGCATAATAACGGTGTTAATATCTTGTAAATGGTTGATAAAGAGTTAAACAGGCTCTTTGTGCTACAGGTTTCATTGACTAAAAAGGCATGTCAAAGTTCTTACTCTTTTTCCCGGCGCGCTGCATTTACCGAATTTGGCATGAACTTCACGTTCAAGTTGCTGACAAATGCAGTGCGTGATAAACATGCAGAGCTTGCGTTTAATTTGATTTCAGAATTTCCAGGGCTGATCAACCCGTAGGCAGTACGTGCATTTAGGCATAAAGTGCTTTCATTTCGGAGACTGTTTTATTTGTCCTCAACTCAGCATTAAAATCAAACAAATTCGTAGATTTTTAAAATATAAAACTTGTCTATTCCTAGGTTCATTTTAGGTGCATTGGGATATCCGTTGGCAATCAGGTTTAGTTTAAATTATTTATACAATCAGTTGACTTTGCACCTTCTTGGGAATAGAGTTGGCTAAAATATTCATACGGCTATAAATTAAAAACCACAAATAAGATGCCACCCCAGAGATTTGCGTCACTTTTCACAGGTTTGAGCTCTTATCAAATTTAAGTCTTTTCCGCGTACAAAGAGCACAGTTGGCGATTCTGATTTGTGGTTAATTACCAATAAATGCCAGTTGGCTTGGACTTAAATTTAATATTTATACAGCACCATAATTAATGAAACTAAACATCGACCAAATGACTAAGCAAATATTTGTGTTTATATTCATATAGAAAAAAAATCAAAGTTCAACGCACGTTTTGGCCTTGCTGGGGGCGAGTTGTCATCAGGCAGACCGTTCGCCGTTGCCTTTAAGAAAAAATGTGCAAACAATTCGCAACATCTGATACAATACGAAGTTATATTCAAATATTTGACTCTGGCTCTTTGTCTGAAGCCGAACAGAAATAAAAAGTGAAATATTTGCATTGTTTATGAACATTTGATTCCATGTATTCAATGGCTATATTCATGATTAATAGCAATTGATTAAATAGGCATCTTATGCTCGTCCACAGCGTCTTTATTTACTTCAGAGGGATATTTTCCAGTTTAATATTTGCGTAGTTGTTAAATGAAATTTAAACATTCACGAACAAAAACAATTTGACAAGCAACAAATGCGCGTTTAATGTTAAAATATTGTGGATGAATTAATATTTTTGCACATTCGAATTCTATTTACCCTTGCCACGGAACAGTAAGGTATTTTAAGTCATTTTGATGATACAAAAATATATTCTAGATTATAATGTCCTACTTTTTCCAATTTCATATTTAATTATTTTCTATTATAAAAGCTAGTCTTCTCTAAATGATCTTGCTTAATTTCCCGTGTAAATAAATTGTCAGTGTATTCTATATTCCACTTATCAACATTTGGGCTTCGCTATGCTGAATATTCGGCTCGGTGGCCTTGATGTTTATCTTGTTGCGTAGTTGCAAGTCTTAATTAGAAAGCAGTTGGCGATATTAATGAGAATTCTAACTAGAAATAAATACTTAACAACCAAATTTTTAAGCCAAAACGAAATGCAATGCAAAATAAATAAATGGCGTTTATCGAGTTAATCAATTATGTACAAATTTTAGAGCACGACTTTGATGAGTTCTCCGCAGCAGCTGCTCTGAAGCCAGTAGCCTCTGGGGTTGTGACCGGAGCGAATCTGAAGACAAAGTCACAGCTCACGGATACCATTAAGGAATCGTGTCTGCCCAAAATGCTATGCGAACTGGCCGCCAAGCCGGAGTATCAACTGAGCGAAAAGGAGCGCGAGCTGCTTAGATTGATAAGGTAAGTCGTAAGGCGAGTCGTGACTGAGCAGGCACTATATAAAGATCAGAGCTTGTAAAGTTACTTAACATTTAACTTGGGTATTTTGCACAAGACACCTTTTATGGGACGACAACTAAAACTAAAAACATTTCAATTGCGGTTTTACCTGTTTGATAATCACTTTTTCACTGCTGATCTCTGGCCTGTCGGGTCGTTCAATGAACTTGGTCAGGTGTGTTGATTTTAGTGCATACAAAGATCTTAGGACTGGCCTTGCTTGAACAAACTCATGCACACTATTGGCTTGTGTAATAGGTGCGCATCTAAACGTGTATTTCAAAATCAGATTCGGCGACCAGGCATAACCTACCTCACAAAATTGACGCGTCGCACACGCTGAGCTAGCTCTGTCGTTTTGTAACCTCGCACTTGAGTCGAAGGTGAGCGCAGCGTCGTAAAAAACTGTTAAACCGACTCACTTACTATACAGAATCGCTGTAGTATTTAGTTCTATTGAGCTGTCGTGTCTACAAGGTATTTCAAACAAAGCAGCTAAAATGACGCGACCCAAAAACAATCGCTGATCCGTATAAAACCCTGAAAAATGCGCTGCTCTTCATATACATTTAACGTACTAATGTGATTTCCGTATTTTTTTCGACGTCTTGCAGATCTCCAACCATGCCCTGGATGATGAATATGCCGCCCAGTAAATGGTATTTTGCGGCTCACATGGGCGAGCTAATGCGCCATACAGGCGATAATCTGAGCGGTCCCATGGGTTGCGCCAATCTCTGGCCGAACTGCCCCATCAGTTCCAAGAAGCTGATGAAGCTTAGCTACAAGGTGCGTGCTTAGGCGCCGGCTAATGTGATCATAGCGTATTTAATTAAGAACTAGTTTAAGTGTACACAACAAACACACACGATTACATCTATCTGGGGCTCTACGCTGAACAGACTCACCTATTGTACTATATGTTTTCACGCTGTAAGCCGTCATCTACCTGGCTGAAAGAAAAGTGCCTGCAGTTTGCCATAATGGAGCCTGCGGCATGACTGATGTGACAATTTGCAATTTGTATCTATTAGCTGTAAGTGCTAAGTAGTCATTTAAGTGTGGCTAGTCTATCTCAATTATGTGTTAGTTTTAGCATTATGCCTAATGTTAGTTCGAGGCGCGCGTATAATTGTAAAAAATGCATATTGTTATTTAATATGAAACCTGAGTGCTTCTGTTTGTTTCATTTTTGTCGGTTTACTAATGATAGTTATGGGTTTTGCATGTACTATATTAATTGCGCTGCGTCATCTGCTAGACTGTTACGCGGTAAACGCCCTTCGCCTTAGCATGGGCATTAAATGGCAAATGCATTTGAAAATGTTTTTATAATTGTTTTTTCAAGTGCTAGGAAATATCGAATTTAACAGCTGTGTAGATATTAATAGAAATTGTAATACGATTGGAAGGTCGTATTATGAATACATAAATCTGTGATTAAAATCCAGTTTGTACTGTGACCAAACCCCAATCACGATAACCCAACAGTGACTAAACACTTTCAATTTGTTTTATGCAATTCCCATAATGAGTTTCGAATAGTTTTTTGTAGTGTGCCTGTTGCTTTTACATCGACTTCTTAATGATAGTACATGCAACTGACTTCCTCGTCATAATTATTATTTCACATTATATTAAGCCCGTCTATAGACTGCGTTTAATCAGTGCATTTAAATGTTCTGCCATGTCACAGCATAAAAAGTCTTTTGTTTCTATTATAATTTGAGGAATTGTTGGTTTGATTTTACAGCTTTTATTCGGTGCAATCAATTTCAGACTAATTAAAAATGGCAATTTAAATGCATTGAGCGGATACAATACAATACAGTACAAAAAATACCCTTTTTGGTTCTTAACAGACATAATCCTGGAAAAATCGGATAAGTTCCAACTACTCTCATCTTCATTGTGATTTTGTACGCTCTGAAAACCCTTTTGACTGAAGTAGATCTGAATGACGATCACCGAATAAGGCTTATACTGAATTTTCATATAAATCTGAACCTTTTCATTGCATACTTTTGGGCGTTATGCAAAAATACACCATACAGAAAACGAATACACTTAACATGCAAATGGATCGTTGACATTGCGCACCTCAAACGAAAAGGTAATAAAAAAGCAAAACAATATTTGTGTTCGATGATTGCCTCATTGCACATGCTTGGGGCGTAAAAATGGCCACACACCAAATGGGAAGAATTTGAGCGAAATTGCGGGATTATGACAGACATACTTAATGGCTAATTAAGTATTAAACAATAGCTAAACAGTAGACAGTAAACAGAAAGTAAACAACTCGATTTGATTGACAATTCTTTCGCTCTCAAGCACATAAATCAGTCAGCGACACGTGCTCTTGCTGAAAAGGCTGCCTGTCCGATTTATTTGCGACACTTCTTGATACTCTGCAATCCAAACTACTTTTATAGTATACTAATTATCAAGGCGCTGCAAACACGTTGCATCTGGCAAGTTTTCAAGTTGCCAAAGACAAATCCAAAGGGGGGTAAAACATAAAAAACCAGAAAACAAAAACAAGCGCGAAATTACGTTTTTGCCTCCATTGGATGGCTTCACAAAAACAATAAACAATAAAAGTAAACAATTTGTAATATCAATGGAATTGGGTCAGCTTGCCAGTTGTTACGCTCGTTGCGTGCCAAAAGTGGACTCTGGTGCACTTTCATTGTATCGTTCGGGCGCTTCGATTTTGGGACAGACCAGCAGCACTTTATTTTTTGGTCTGACATTTGACAAGTTGTTTGTTGCTATTGTTATTGTTGTTGTTATTGTTATTGCTGTTTGTTGTGCAATGCCAGCCAGATGCAGACGAGTGCAGCTTATGCGTAACATGACTTTCAACAGCTGTTGGCGGTACTCAAACTTCTATCAATTTGTCAGGTTGCCTAATATTTCCGCATTGCATTGCCAAAACAAAGGAAAGTCTCTCCCCAAACAACCCCAACAGTTCCCACTCAAATCCGGGCCTGCGAGCGAGCAACCAAAACGGCAACAAGTGCCAGGCAACTGGTAAAACCCGAAAATTACGCGGCTCAACAAAGAAAAAAATACAAGAAGGAATAGTTTTGCCGGCGTGACGAAAACCAAATACCCTTGCAAATGCAATCATTTAAAGTCTCGGATTACAACTATAAATTGTTTTAATATAATTTGATAAAATAATAGAAAGAGTAGAGCCTAATAATCCATTTCAATTCCCATTCCAATATCAAAGACCATACAATACAAATAAGTGCAAGAGATTATGAGCAGAAATGCCCAATGCCATGCCTTTGCTAGGGTATGACAGCGCCGCCTTTCCCACCCACTTTGAAGTAGGCGCATAAAAAAGTTTTGTTGCAAATGTAAGCCAGGCCAAGAGTGGGAGCTGCCGAGCTGCAGCGCTCTGTAATTGCGGCTTAAGTCGCAAGTGTTAACAGGCGCCGTCTTGCGTAACCGGGCAACCGACTGATTGAATGACTGGCCAATTGCAGCTCGGGGCTGGGGTGGGGCGAACATGTTGTCGGTCAAGTTTTGGCTTAAAACTGATCGACCGACTGATGAACAGTCATTGTGTCAGTTCTTGCTATTGTCTGCTAATGGTCTCAATTGTCTGGCTAACTGTAAGCACAGCTAGTCGACCAACTGACCGCACTGATTGCGGGTCTTGCAGTCTTAATAAACTGGGTAGCCGTGATTGGATTTGGCTGCTGGTTTTCCTCGTTCTTGAAGCTTATTTTTTATGCATTTAACAAATGAGCTTGTAAAGTCATGTGGCACATTAATTACAAGCTAGAGACAAATTTGCGGTTGCTTGAACAGGTTGCTCCGAACGAAAAGCGTGGACAATGACACGTGCTCCAAAGATCAGACCACGCACTTGACAAATGGTTGGGTATACAATTGCTAAAGTTAAGTTATTCAAATAAACTGCAAATGGTGTCAATTGGAAAAATAAACAACACTCATGAATAGCTTCGGCTCGCAGACGTTTTGAAATGGGACGTGTAGTAATCATTTTAGCACTAGCTATTGATTGGGCCTGTCTTTTGAGTCGATTTTTTTTATTAATTTAGTTATTATTTAGTAATTATACTGTTTAAAATTGCTAAGACTCCGCCTTATCAGCATGCCAAATTACTTATATAATTGAATAACTATCAAGCTTTAGTCTGTCAAACATTTTTTGTCTGCAATGTTTTCATTAACTTTAAAGGGGCTGTTATCCTTGATAGGATTTATTTATTAAAAACTATTTTAATCAAATAAAAAAAACTATTGAGATAGAGCTAACCAAAAAGTAAAAATAGCGTTGGTCCCAACTATGGTATTTATCTAAACATATTTTGGGTAGAGGTCAAATATAGCCCGAATCTTGTGTATGAAAATATGACCGAATTACAATATTTTCAGTACAATGGGCAAATTTAAATTACAGATTAAATTGTTCCATAAAATGTTGAATATATATGACAAAACGGGCAGGAAGTTGTATCGAACCGCTAATCACTAAAACATTTGCCGGGTTTTGCAGCATTGATAGAAACGTGAGTAAACGGTCTTCAAAACCTCACAAGTTTCGTGTGAAACTCAGCATGCCCTTTTTTCAGGGTATTAGCCTATATAATTGTGTGTACATGCATTTAAACAAATTTTATTGTTTTTTTAACTATTCTTTTTTTTTTCTTAACAATTAGCCCCATGAAAATTGCTAAACTATTTAACAGCTGTTGGGCTCGGGCTGTGCCTTATACAAATCTCTGAGCGCGGTTGAAGCAGCTAACGGAAACGAGCGGCTGGGCAAACGTGGCTTAAACAACCGCAGATTAAGTAATTGATATGCAAAGCCAACAGTAACGCATACCAGACCGTACACTGCAGACACGCCAAAGGAAATCACAAGTGAAAAAGTAATGGCCACTAACATGGAAAATTTCATAACTTTTCATAATTAAAGGCAAAAAAAAAAAAAAATAAAATAAAATGAAGAGAGAGGGAAATGCACAGAAGAGAGACTAACTTTGTTGAGGGGGGCAACAGCTGAGCAATAGCTGGTTTGTCCACTTTTAAAGGTGTTGTTGGTGTGTGTGTGTGCATACACATACACTCACACGCATCCCACACACACTCATTCATAAGATAGTAGGCTCGGCCTGCGCCCTCCACTTGATCATATTGGCTCACTTTCACTTGTCTTTGGCTTCTTTTGCTTCCGCACGAAACTTGGTCAAAATGCAAAGCAAACTTGGCCGCCAACTTTACACAGCTCGAAGAGAGTCGTGTTTGACTTTTGTTTTTTTTTTATAGTTTTACACTTTATCATTTTGTCATCCTCTCTCTTTGGTTTAGTTTTTTGTTTGCCGCGCTTTGGCGGCGTGAGGCGGCCCCAAGTCGCGTCAGTCATTCGAAGACTTTAAACGCACCAAGTTGCCTAGTTCGGCTGCACGACTACTCGACTCCTCTTTCGATTTTGTGTGGATTCAACATAGAGCATACGCCATGAATCTGCGCTACATTTGCACATTGTCGCTGCTGCCCACGCTGTATGTGCTGCTGGTGCTGCTGCTGGAGTATGTGGAGCAGGGCCTCGCCCAAAATCCGGATCCGTTGTTCGAGCTGCCCGTGCAGCTGGTCGGTTTCCCAGTTATTGTCCTGTCGGTGCGTCTGTCGCAGTTTGCCAAAAAGTTGGCTTACTCCCTCAACCCAAGTAAGTTGGCCCTTTGCTGAGTGTGAAAGTGCAACCGCCGCATTGGGGCATGATTCAGCTGTTGGGCATTTTAATTTATTTTCCTTAAGTGAAAGTCAAAAAGTGTGCATAAATTAATAATTTGCCATTATTCAAATCGGCCCGTGTGTGTGTGCGTGCAAAATCGAATTAAGAAAACAGATAAATTTCATAAATAACAACAACAAAAATATTGTAGTGAAAACCTTACTTATAAACACCACACGCTTTCAGGGCATAAGAAAACAATTTCTATTACCTAGCCTGGTATTCAAATCAATATTTACTTTTTCTTGTTGTATTAATAAGCTTGCTTAATTACAGCTAATGCCGGATAATTGGTTTATTTACCAACGACAGAATAAACATATTGAATAGATTGATGAGGGAAATAAAAAATTAAAAGACAATACTAGTGGATTATTAAATAGAAAATCAAGATAATTAAATATAAATAAATTAAAATATTATCAATATTAAAAAATAATTAAAGAAGAATATACAAATAACAATAAAAATAAGTAGAAAAATAGTAAAGTAAATAATCAATACAATTTTGCTATATTAAGAAATGTCATACTAAATGTTTGCTTACACTAGACACTATCAAACCAAAACACAAAACCCGCCTGCCTAGAGTCTTGCAACATCTGTTGACAAACTAAGCTCTCTTGTGCATCTCATCACGGTAGGCGCACTCTTGAGGCAAACGCGCTCATTGCGCCGCATCGCATAAAACCAGACCCAAATGTGTGACAAAAGTGGCGGGCGACTGGCTCAAATGCCGGAGCTGGCGGCGGCAGTTCGTCGTGCACGTCCACTTAAGCAAGCCAAATGGGGTCAAGGCTGTGGAGACGACAACTGAAGTCAGCCAAGTTGTTGGCCGGAATATTTTACAATCAGCCGTTTGGCTAGTTGTCAGTTGAATTGCGGGCAACGTTTTATTTATTATTATTATTTTTTTTTTTGGGTAAAACCAAGTGCTTGATGACAAGCAATCATGAATGCTAACAGGGAATTACCAAAGCTGCCCATTGAGTTGTGCTGCACTCTCAACTCCAATGCGAACTTGTGCAATCAACCACAGCTTGGTAACTTTGGCATTCTCATCTGCTGCCACTTTGACTAATTTCGCGTTTTATACGCAAGCAGCCAACGACAGCTAACTGCCAACTGCTAACATAAAACTTCCCTTTTGCCACTCTTGCAGATACGTACCGTTCGCGTAGCAGACGTGACGCCGCCCACCCGCTAGCTTTGGACGCCCAGTTGGCCCAGAAGGAGATACAACGCGAGTTCGGGCCACAGGCTTGCATACTCGAGGAGCCGTGTCGTGTGCATGCCTCACGTCCAGGCAGTCAACGGCAGTCTGGTAGCGACGGCAAGGCAAAGCTGCATGCGCCCTGGTCTGAGGTCTTGAGGTAGGTCAAAGTTTTCGGTTCACAACATGAATCTGCTTGCAAAGGGCATGCTATATGTTGGTAATGGTGCTTATAGCATATGCTGGAACTTTCATATATAATGCCAAATAATCATAATCGATAAGTATTACTAGAGGATTTAAATCTTGACTTAAAGCGTAAAACCAGAGGGAACTTCAGAGAAGAGACAATAATAGCTTAAAAATACATGAAAATATTTTAAACCAACAAATTTAAATAGTTTAGCTGGACTTTTTTTTAAATATTTTTAAAATGTTTTTAAAAAAAATGCAGCATAGTTAATACGGATAAATCTTTAAATAGTTCAGCTGCATTATTAAATTTGTATATATTAATATTAACAAATGGCAACATAATTAAGATCGATGGATCTTTAGATAGTTTTGCTGCAAAGATTATTATTATTAAATAAAATCAATAAATGCAACATTATCAATTATTATCAATGGATATTAAGATAGTATTGCCAAAGATGGCTTTTCTGCATATATATAAAGTGAATTAAGGCATAGTCAAAGTTCTCTAAAAACTCCATTGCAAAGAGCATCGGAGTGTCGGTGTTGTCAGAGCTAAGATAATTTTCTTAGTTATTTCTTGTTCAAGTGGAACGCTGACTTTATGGCTTCCCAACTGGCGACTGACAGACAGTAACAACTTGAACTTTTGCTGCCCCCTCTCTTTCTCATTTGGCATTCCTCTCCCCCTCTCTCTCTCTCGCTCGCTCTGTCTTTCGCTCTTTGAAATGAGCATCTCAGATTGCATTTGTTATTGCTACGTTGCAATTTGGCGCTGCTGTTGTTGTCATTTGGCAAATGAATGGCTTGTTTTTAGTTGAAAATGTTTTCCAATCAATTTTTATTATTTCTTCGTTGTTGTTATCCCTTCCCTGTCCCCCGATAGCCCATCGTCGCAGTCTCCAGCTCATTGTCATTGGGCATGCTAACTCATCTGCGCATAATTTAATGTCTTCTCCCTGTCTGTCTGCAGTTAGATTCACGTACTTGTTACTCCCAAAGCTTAAATGTGCATGTCATTGCATTGGCATTGGCTTTGGATTTCAATTTGTAAGTTTACATAAATTTTACCAGTTCCTGATGAGTTAGTTGCCCTTGCAGTCGCTATTGTCATGGTAATGCAATGCAATGCACAACGTTTGCAAGTTGAGGAAATTATTCTTTTCCGCACTGTTTGCCATTTATTTTTCTTTCAGTTAGTTCTTCCTTCCCAGAAACACCCGTCGCAGCGCAGTGATTCATAATTAATTTCTCTCGCTCCCTTTTGGTTAGAGTTTGTATAATAAAAGAACTCTTAAGTTTTGGCCTGGCTGCTCACTGATAGTGAATGTATTCTTCTTTTTATAGCAAACTATTTTAAATATTTAATGCTTGTTTATTTTTGGCAAACAAAAGATAGTTTAAACCTTAAACAAAAGCTTTTTGCATAGATACCTCTGGCATACGTGTCGTATGCGCAACATTTGGCATTCATAGTTTTGGCCATTGTTGTAAATTTCATTTAATATTGTGTCATATCGCACTCGACTCAGCCCAAATGTGTTGCACATGCATCTGACATTTTCACACTTAACATGCAAAATTTTCAACACTCAAAGTTTCTTTTGCCCCCGTCATTGGTCTCTGACCAGACTCAGACCCAGGCCCAGACCCGAACGTGGAGCAGTCATCCTAGATCAGCACCAAGTGCTGGCCCCCAACGTGTCAAGAGCAAATATTCAAAATTATTTTTGAAATGTACTCAACGTCTGTCGGTTTGTCGTTTCGTCTGTCCTGCTGCCTTCACCTCCGTTTGCCCCTTCAGCTACTCGTTTTGTGTGTTGTTTGTTTAGTTTTCGTTGCGCTGCAAATGTAATTGGCATTAGAAGTTTTGTACGTTTGCCCACGACGTGTTTTGTAATAATAAAATATGATTAAAGTTTTTGATTAAATTTATGCAAGCGCACAGTGCAAATCGGTCCCAGCACAGCTCGGTTCGTTTCAGTTTAGTTTCTGCACTGGTCAGTTGTATTTTTGATGCTGTTGCACCTTTTTCACATGGCACTCTTTCGGCTCTGGAATGGACTTAAGGGCACTGCAGATGTGTTTGTTACTGAGTTGATTAAATTATCCCATTGCAGACGTGTGAAATTTGAGCTATGTGTGTGCGTCTGTGTGTGTGTGTGTGGCCAGATGTGACTTGTGCTTGAGCGCTCTGCAAGGTAATCAGCAACAAATTAAGTGGACGAGCATGAGCTCCTGGCAAGAGATGGGCGCGTGATTCTTCAAATATATCGACAATAGGATATATGTATATGTAAAAATTGTATAGATGAATGATAATGGGGACCAAACTGACATTTTTACTGAAGTTTCCCAGGCTAATAACTAAAACTAATAGACGAGAAGTTGCCAATTCAAGCAGTAATTGTAAACTATTTTGATTAGTTAAATTTCTTATTATTTTCAAAATAATAATCCCTTTAAATAATCGCGAAAGGGCGAGTACTATGCATCCTGTATTGAAATTGAAGCGAATGACAGAAAAAATTACCACATGAATTTTTAGCCTCATTCTTTTGACCTGAGCGACACCTGGTTATTTCTTTTGCACATAAATATTTGTGTATTTAACATACATACATCACTTGTATATTTTTGTACAGAATCATAATTCATAAATTAATACGAGTACTAACACGCACTGACGAACCAAAAAAAAAAATATATTAACAACGCATCGCATGTCTTTAACATGTCACTGAATTCGACCCAACCCACCATTTAACCATAAAACCTATGAGCCTTGGTCCTGCCTCTGCGCACGTAGAGCTCGTGGTAAAGCGAAAATTACTTTTGTTCTTAATATGGCCCCAGTCCAGGGCAAGACTCTGGTTTTGGTGGTGCGTGGAAAGGGTCTTGTGATGGGAGCCTGCCAGAGACTTGTGTATATTACCCGCTACTTATAAGTAATTATTTTTGTAATCCGCTTTCGTTGCCGACTATTGTGCCTGCGCCTGACGATAATGATGATGATGATGATGACTGACTGAACAACAACTCTTTGCATACACGTCCCACTCAACCACTCAGGAACTACAAAGTGCAATCAACCGACGGCTTGAAACAATGGTATCTGCTCTCGGTCTTTATCGGCGATGCTGTGCGGGATGTGCCGCTATGCAAGCACCTGGCCAAACGGATGCCATGTCCAGGCACTGGACCGCTGCCGCCGCCACAGCCTCGCTAAGTAGTGGTCGCCTGTCGGACTAGGCGGCACTCGAACATGGGCGGGCTTTATTTTATTTTTTATTGTAGACGTCGCAGTTCCGGGGGCATCTGCAGCATCTGCATCACATCGTGTAGTCAGTCAATCGCATGGACATCTTTGTTACGTTCTTTCGAACCTCAACTCCGTCTCCATCTATCGTCACTCTTCATCAATTCGTACTGTTAGTTGTTTTTAGGGGCTTTAATTTAAACGACAGACAGCATAGGCTTACACTTATATAAGTATGTATGAAGAATAAGAAAATAAATCAACAAAAATCAAATGAAAATTGTATGTGCCTATGCCGTGTCATGCCTGCGCTTTTAAGAGCCCCCTTATCCCCACAGACCCCGTCCAGTTCGAAGTTTCATCTGCTCGGACAATGCATTTTACACTCTGCCCCCCGTCTAACAAACCATTTGTCTGGTTGCAAACAAAAATTGATACGCCAAAAAGCATGCAACGGTAAAAAACGCATGCATACTTTGCAGCGGCGCGCACAAATTGTTGACGCAAGGCATTAAGCTGCAGACTCGTTGTGAATACCCTGTAACCGTGCAGAAAGGCTATGTTGCCCTTGTAAGTGCACGAAATGTAATAGAAAAAATGGAGCAATCTTTAACTTATTTCCAACCTCTTTTGGATACTCTGTTTGATTGCTTTAAAAAACAGGAGATATTTCTCTTATAATATTTGTTATATATAATATCTCCCAGTAAGACCCATTATGTATTTTATATTTGATACGTAAGTGTTCAATGGAAACTTAAGCTGCCAAATAAATAGGATTCAATAAGTAACTTACCCTTGGCAACTTTAGTTTTGAAAGTCCTTGCAAAAAGAATATTTTTTTGCTCCCATTTTTGACATTTTTGCTTTAATATTTATTCACTATCATTTGTATTATCCTCCTTATTTCTTGTGGATAATCTGTAAACAAGCAGGCAGAATATGATATGCTAATGTGTGTATTGAATATGTGAGATATTTTAAAAACTAATGTTAAATTTATATGATATAATGCAGTTTCTATTTTGTTCGATTGCCGATTACAGGGTATCTGGACGTCTGCTTCTTTTTGTTGTATATGCCCCCCACTGTTGAACAGCTCTCAGTTGTTTCGCTTCAAGTACTACAACTACAGCTTTTGGTAAAATACACAGCCCTAACCCTGGCCGCACATTGGTAGCAGAAACCCGCACCAGAGAGCTGGTCGTCGCTTTGCTATTTATTAACTCGTTGCATATGTTTGCAGGCACTGTTGAGCGCCCCTGCCCGAGTGCTGTAAATAAAACGACATGACTGCGACGCAATGTAGACAAGCGCAGCAACAAGCGTTGCTTGGAGCTTTGGCGACGTTGACAACCCTGCTGTGTGCTGTGTGTGCCGCCGCACAAAAGTACGCTGCACTTTTTTGCACTTTGCATTTTTGTGTGATTTGGCTCTGGGAAACGTTCGTCCCATTTGGCAGCTGGGACCAAAACAAAAAAACAACTGAAATTGTCTGTGGGAGGTTTTTTTGTTGGTTATCTCCCTTGTGTCCCTTGGTTTATCACATTTAATTTTTCAAACGTATTCCCCGCGATGACGCCGTTTGTCTCTAGATTTATGTACCATTTCTTTTGCATATTTCATTTGCTTGAAATACTTGTTGATTTGTTGCAGTCACTGCGACTGATACATCTTGTTTTTGTGATTTAAAAAGTATTTAATAAATATTTAAAGACATTTAAGCGATAACAAATATTTACAGACCTTAAACTAATGGGAACTTGCCTCTCGTCTGACGTATATACACAAGAAATTCAACCGCTGCCCAGATACACTTTGCGTCCGTCGGGCCTTATGTAATACTCGTTCACACCTTGTGAATTAGTCACATATATATTTCTATCATCCTCGTGTTTGGGTCTCCTCGTCGAGGTAGCCTGGTAAGCGCTGCTATATCGGTTGTCGCTTATATAGTTGGCATTGGGATAGTTGTACTGTGCATTATAGCTGGGTCTGTCATTCGACTCGACGAATCGCACGGTATTCCCCGGCAGGTATTCGCCATAGTTCATAAAACTTTGACTGTGACTTGTCTGATAGTCCGCTGAAGTGTCCGTCTCCAGGCGATAATAGGAACTCGGTCTATGCTCATCACTGACCACCAAACGTTGATCTTTCTGTTCGCCCCTATCATTGTACTCGTAGCTGGGCGCATAGGTGGGTCGGTTCAGGATCTTACCTCTACGTATGTGACGCTCGTAATGATCGGGAAATAGGACTCTGGCGCCGCGTTGAGGTGGTGCTGCATCCTCATATACGGCATTTGGTGGTGTATGTGGTTCTCTTTGTTGTTCTTCTCTGAACTGTTTTTCTCTAAATCGTTCCTCCTCTTCCCTGTTCTCCTGCACTTGCTCTTCTCTAAGCAGCTTATCAAACTCCTCGAGCTCCTCATTGGTATCCTTAAAAACAATTCGCTTGCCACGCTTCTTCTCCACGCCGTAGTCTTCCTCGCCAAGTCCGTTGGGCAGCACAGCTGTCCAACCCTCGGCCAGTTGCAACTTCTTGGCCTGCCGCTCGCTTTCGCTTTGGTCTTGGGGAAATCTCAATTTACGTTGAGCTGCATCTCGATTGAATTCGTAGATAACTTTTCGCTCGTTGTCGCGCAGAGCTTCCGGCGTGGCATCCGGAAATCGCACAACTCCGTTGTCATGATGCTCAGCGCCTTCTTCGTTTTTGAAGTGCAGTATGCGACCCTCGCCCTCAACCTGGTCTTCGGGAAATTGCAGCACACCTATCAGCTCGGTGTGTGCCTGGGCTGCCTCCGCCTCGCCATCATCTTGAAACTTGACTGGTGTCTGGGTATCCAAGTCATCTTCTTCATCATGAAAATCAACGGGCATCAAGCGGCCATTATCCGTCTGAATGTTGCGTTTAATTTCCGTTGGCAACAGACTCCTTCTCCTTCGGCGACGTCTTTGATACTCCACGCCGCTTAAATACTCGGACAGCACTCGGGTAAAGAAGCTGCCGATGCCATCGGCAATGTCCGTACTGGGTCTTTGTGTGGGTCGCGGCACAGGGCGAGGCGTTGTGCGCGTCACCTGGCCCAGCCCCTGCTCCTGCCCGCCGCCCGTCAGCGCTGCGAGTATGCTAAACAATGAGCCTCCGCCAGATTCGCTTTGTTGTGCTACAGCTGGTTGCTCTTCCGGCTCGCTGAAGAACTTAAAAAACCCTCCGCGATGATTGTTCAGATAGTGAATGATTTCCATCTAGACAGTTTGAGTTTTTAATAATCATTAAACACCCTTGATTGGTATGCTCACAGCCATCAGCTCACCTCATTCTTTGGGCATTTTTCATAGGTCCGAACACAGCTTCGTTCGCCCCCGCTAATTCCAAGCAGCGCAGCGCGTCCATAAATGAGAGCTGGCGAGGCGACTGGGAAGCCAGCTAAGAAGCTGTTGGGAATGAAATTAATGAAAAATTTTTAAAAACTTCTCAATTTAAGTATTTCCTGGTATCCGAGTACCAAGGTACTGGAAGGTTTGTTACACTGGTTTTTGGAATCCTTTTTTAATTTCTATTTCTTGTATATACTTGTTAAGGGTATTATAATGCAAAAAAGCAGCCATCTCCGGCCCGACATATACTTATGTTCTTGATCATTATCAATATCCGAGGTGATATAGCTATATCCGTCCCTTCATTTGGCTGTTTTTTACAGAGTGTATTATAATTCTGCGTAACTGTGTATCGCATCGAAGAATATGCTTGTGATTCCGTAAGGTATCTATATTCCTGAATCGAATCAACAGATCTTATCAATATCTAATTACTAGAGAACGATCGCTTAAAAATGAAGTTTTGTATGAAAATCTTCTCAGTTTTTCAAAATAACGATCGAGTCGGAACATTTCATTTTCCCTGTGCTCCTTATTTATGGTGGAATATTGAATACCTTCACTTAAATTCAAGGGTTTTTATATTCCTCATTATCTAACAAATGTTGCCCAGCTGCCTTTTAGGCTGATTATAAAACTTAATTGAGTAAATGCCAATTTGCAACGAAAAGCCAAACAATATCAATTTACAGACGAGCTGCTTCAGACACACACAACCCCCGCCCGCTGGCCATGTCTCAATCAGAGCGTGGCTCATTTCATAGAACAATCAATATGGTCGGGCCAGATCGACTTGCATAATGAATAAGGTCTAATCCCAGTTAACGCTTGCTTGAAATTAAACGAGCACAGAACGGGGGGAGTTGCCATCGGATGGGAATGTAAATTTAATAATATTTACTTGCAAGTAAAGCCCTTGCCACATTATTTCGGATGGCAATTGCGCCAGCTCTGGTTGGGTACTCACTTGGTTATGGCCGGCGATGTAATGAAGCCTGGCAGTTGGCCACGTAACGTTTGACCGGCAATCATCTGGCAGAGCACCTTGGGCACACACTGCAAATCGTCGTTGCGTGCGATGTTCTCCAGGGCTCTAATGAGTTGTGTGTTGGGCGGTCGGGCATGCTGCCCTGTGCTTTGCGTACCGGCAAAAGCGCCTAAGAGACTGCCTAATGGGCTGCTGCTGCTGGAGGAAGAGGAGGATGCTCCACCACCGCCACCGCCCAAAAGCAGATTTGTAAACTGTGGCGCATATTGTTGCGTCGAGCTCAGCAGCGACGCTAGAGTGGCCAGGCCACCAGCTCCAGCCCCTGCTGCTGCCACTGGCTGTTGGTAAGGCGGTCGATAGCCAGGTGGCGGACCAGGACGATAACTGAACTGCGGCTGGGGTGGTGTCTCGCCAATTTGATACTCATAGTAATTGTGTCCCGGTCGTTGTTGCTGAGACAGCGGTCGCTGAGGCAGCGGCTCATATTGATAGTGCGTGGGCTTATATTCCGACTGCGACTGCGAGGGGGAGTGCGAGTGGGCGGGGTAACTGGTGGGTCGCTGCAAATAATTACCAAAGTTGTTTGCGTAATTAGACGACTGCGTGTATTGCGGCTGCGGCACATTTATCGATGAGCCGCCTGCCAATGGTCGGTTGTCATTGACGTCTTGGCGGTTGTAAGGCGGCCGATGGTGCTCGCGGGGTCGCTGAGACTGTGTCTGTGTGTGCTGCTGCGATTGCTGTGGCACAAAGTTGGATGTCTGCTGTGTGGCATAGCTGGGCGGCGGGTAATCATGCGAATCGTATGAAATTTTATTCGCTGTGGAGGCTGTGGGTGCCGTCACAGGTCGGCGATAGAGCGTCGTGGGGCTCTCATCGAAGACATAGCCGG